ATACATTGGCGATGCATACAATGTACAAAGTAAAACGTTGAATAAATAAAATAACACAAATACTGGTGATGGTTCTTTGTCAATTTAGCACATCTCGCCTCGAATTTCTCATGTGACGAACCCATTCATCATCGCTCTCAATCAGTTCCATCATCAATGACAATGAAACAAGTATGGGTGTCATTGAAAATGATATCAATTCAAATTACCCCCATCACTCAAAGTGATCATGAATGCGAGGTATGGTCTTAATGAGGAAAAAGGAATTGAATAATACATGATTCAATAACAATTAGACTAAATAACATATGCATCCAATCGATCATTCACACGATTTCTTATTATGGTTTTCTAAACAATTATAGATATTCGTATACAGTGTTGCGTCTGATGTATCCATCAGTGATTTGCAAACATCACAAACAGTGTAGTACAGTTCTTTAAAATAAATATTCTGTGCACGGTTTAGAATACTTTCAGAGAACCTGTGCAAAGTACCGAAGGTTATGATGGAATTTTTAGATGGAAAATCGAAATACACGACGGCAGTCAAGAATCACTATTATAGAAAATCTTATACACAACAAGGAATGTCTTATAAGGGGCTTACTTTCCAGACAAAGTAAATTGACGCCACAAAAAGTTAGCCACAACAGGACGTGATTAGTTATTTGAAACACTTTTTTTTTTTTCGTGTATTGTGCATTACGCACATTAATTATCCCGCTTGCCGATTAATTATTTCTCAAGCAACATTGCGCTTTACGCACGCACATTAATTATCCCGCTTTCCGAGTAATTATTTATCAAGCAAGATACGGTACGAGTTTATTAGTTTTAATTAATCTTGATAATTTTGTACTTTGACAAAAATTTTTTGGTTCGTTAGCAACCCCTACTTCTTCATGGTTGGGGTAAGGCCTTCGTTTGTGATTATATTTATTGCCCTTACAGGTATTGCAAGTAACGGCCGCTGTCTAGTCGGTCAGCTGGAAACCCATTGCAGTGCAGTCAGCACTGCTTTTCTCGATTTCTAGCTTACTGTTGTCAAATTATTCGTTAGACGCCAAGAAAGCGGTTACTAATTATTATTACTTTTTGTAAACTCGGAACACATTGTTTAATATAGCAACATCGCTTATTTTCTGACTTTTTTCTTTTTCATTCAATCTTTAGCAGAAGAATTTATTTAGTGGCTTTTGAATTTAAGCCAAGCTTTTTAAACCGAGATTCTTGTCTTGGGTTGTTGCTACATTAGAATTTCCTTCCGTCATGAAAACCTTTCTAGTTGAGGGGAGTGGGTATTGGGATATTTCAAGCTTGCTTGACCGCTGTTCGAATAAGTAATTTCATGAATGAATATTATTAAAATCTGCGCGCTACACATTGTAACACTTTGATTCGAAGCACAACAATACATGAGAGCTAAGAGTCGGTTAATTTGAAACAATCCAAGAAATCTGCCAAGCTGATATTGATTGAGGAGGACAAGTTAGTTGATGGTAAGTTACTGCGCTGTATAGAATGTTGGAATTGTCATTTTTCTGTAATACCTTTTGATAATGATGGAATATCCGCATTATTAACGATAATATGTAGGCTTATTCCCATGTCATTTGATGAGCGAATGAATTGCGCTGGATCATATTTAAAAAAAAAAAAAGACGAAGAAAACAGTTAATGAATGATAATTAATCTATCATCATTGTGTAAACTTGTTACTAACCAGTCATGACTTGTACCTGCTTGGTTAAAGAGGAAAATTTCAACAATGACAAATATCGCACGATTCATACATTAGTAAGAAGAAATCTTAACGAGTTACACAGTAATGCTGAATGCGAAGATCTTTCGTTACTGCAAGTTTAGTTCATCTGACAACATTCCGAGTTTGCAAAATTGGGTAAGCATAATAGACCGTTGTTTGAGGCAAATTAATGCCTTACGAAGCATACATGCAAAATGCATCATTAATGAGAAAGAACTGATTCATAGAACCGATATCTGGAATACGGTCACACAAATTACGGACAACTACGCTGTATGTTTAGACTCTCACGTACATGGGGTAACAAGCTTTTTTTTTCTTTTAACATGTAACGGTGATAATTGACAAAGATTACGGCATATTGTGCGATTATCCCATTGACGACAGGAACAGTTATAATATGTGATACGACAATAATGATGGTGAACCAACCGTGCAGTATTTAGAAAAAAATATTATAGTTATTCTTCTCCCTGCATACTTTTGCCTTACAGAGCGCAACCACCATTGCATGAATGTTTTCATCTTTGATGGTAATAATGTGTGCGGCCAGCCTATTCTTTACAAAGACATCAACAAGGTTCATTTATGGCATGTTGGAATTATTAGATGCTTATTAGTCATACAGTCGAGGAAAGGGTTCGTCATCGATACGAGCGAGCGGCAATGTATTGTGTCTTATGTATTCGATGGGAGGACTGCGTTTGGAAATCAGGCAAGCATGTGAAAACCTATTTTAACCCAGACAAGATTGGACTCTGATTTATCTAACTTTTTTTTTTCTTACACAAACCCAATATCGAATTCTGGGCTAGACTTTTTATTATTTCCATTAGTAATGTATTCTCTTTCGAGAGCAAGTGAGGAAAAAAGGTTTGTAATACGGGAACACATCTGTGGAAATTCTTGAAACTAACAGGAACACACCACACCAAAAGAAGGGCTTTCCGAAAAGTGTGTGTGCAAGATCCATATAAACGTGGTGAGGCAGTATTGATAACGGACCATTGAGATGACGTCCGAGAAAGAAAGAAAATTTAAACGAGCACTTGGGTATATTCTGTGCTATGTATAACAAGGCACGATAGTAAAACATACCAGTCAAAAAAAGGAAATTTTTCTTTGGGAGTGGCGGAAAGACATTGTACTTGTATTACAATTACACATTGCACATACGCATTGATGTCGTACATAATATAACAGACAATGGCATTATTATGGGGTTCATCTGCAAAGAATGTGATATAATAATTAGAACTCTATTGATAAGGCAGGTAATAATGCCATGTACATGCGTTCTGTAAATTTCGGTTTTTTTGATGGTGTTAAACTTGTCAAACTGCCAAAACATCAATCGCACTTGTGTTAGTTTCTATTACAAGACACCAATATCCTCTTCTTTCACTCATCCGTTCTCTCTCTTACTCCTTCTTACTGACAACGAGGAAATAATTAACAGAGTAGGACAATTTAAAGTGCTTTCATTTTTTGAACCCGATTACGTTTAATTATTATCCATACCGGTGCTGTACTGTACAAGACCATTACCCTAGTAGAATGCGAGAACTGAATATTCGATTGTCCCAGTACGAAACCATCCCATCCCGAATTCGTGCACGAAATTGGATTTGGAAAAAATATTACGTTATCAGAAATATGTAATAATAATAATTGATTTTATGGGCATCTTCCATGAAGAATGGAACATACTAAAGAAAGTTGTCTTTGTTTCTCTAGTGTTTATTTAACTTTACTGGATAGAATGTTCATCGAAACAAGCAACTCGTTGTGCACATGGCAATAAGACAAAACATCAATAATCAAAACCCAAACGGCGGCGGCAATTAATCAAACAATATTTTTGGTAAGCTGTCCCTCGATTTGACTCTAAAAAGCCATGGTAAATTTCTGTCATGATTCGGACTTTGTGCTCTTCTAGTGAAATAGATTAGATACCACGCATATATAGCATAGAATGACTACTTGGTGTTATGTATTTCAGATTGAGATTTGGAAGAGCGGAAGGAGCATTTTGTACCTCGTCTTTGTTAACAGAAACTCTCTTATTAAAACTAATTCAATTAACCGTTGATACTTATACATTTTTAAAGCTAGATTCACTAACGGTTACGCTAAGAAAATTACTTTTCAACAATATTCCACACCATTTTTGCTTTTCATGGCACTTTGAGCGTAATATAAATACTCGAACTATATACGATGCTAACAACCTTCGGTCTTCCGTCTCCGTCGCGCCGCTTACGAATTTATGGTATTTATTAGTATCTTACGATTGCACAACTCATATACGCAACCTCAACGTAAGTGTCCGACCCGCTATTAAAAGTTTATGTTAATTAAAAACTAAGTAAATTAACGTTATTTTTTGTTAGTTGTGCATAATAACAAGAGGCTAAAATTTTAATATATGGATACTGATTAAACGCAGTCTACTTTTTATACAAACCATACAATGAACAGGCTAATGATCTCTCGAACCTTATCTGAATAAACCAAAACAGCAAACCAAACGTTGATCAAAGCGAATGGCACACATTCTTGCCAAGGAGTCAGTTTCGTGTGTTTTACATCAAAGTTGACGTTCCGAAAGAAAATTCTAATTTGGCTCGCAACGGCTACGGATGACATATTAGAAATTGCTAGGAAGTGAACTAATCTCAATCAATGACAGAACCAAGCAATTGTAAGTACAGTCTAAGCCCGTTATAATAGGACTACGTTATAATGAAATCGAATTATAAGAGAAATTTTCTTAGAACTCTTTTTTCTAATATTAAAAATTGCTTGTTTAATAGATTTTTATAGTAAATCGTGTTATTAGCTATAATGGACTTTTCCCTCATCACCCATAACAGAATTAATCGCACTATAATGGACATATGACTTTAGCCAATAAATAGAACGAGAGAAATCAAACTCAATATTAATATGATTTAACAATGTGTAAAGCACTTTGTTTATACGAAATGCCTAATAATATATCTAAAAGAATATTTTTAACAAAATGCACAGAAACGTCAACTATGTCTTGACAAGGAGAAAAAGCCTACACCAACGAATGACGAACTTGCGTTAAAATACAGAATCAAAAGAAAAACCGTCTCCGTAATCTTAATAGCAAAAGAAAAGTGGCTTACAACGGATTTTGATAAGTATACTGCTCAGTTGAAGCGTAATAATTCCGTGTGAAAAAATATCGAGCGATACTGTTATGGAAGCTGCAAAAGAAGACATTTCCTTGTCTGCATTTGAAGAACGTAATTTAATTTAAGCCTTAATCGATAAACTTCCTTTCACGGATCCGATAAATGCTGAAGAGTATTTACGTCTTGATGAAAAAGAAGAAGAAGAAGTCTTAACTAATACCATTACGGGTGTGGATGATTTTAGGAAAAGAGACAGGATCGGATGAAGAAGAGGAAAAGGAGGTGAAGAAACGAGTATCTATCAAAGAAGCCTGCAGAGGTGCTCATGTAGCGATTAATATAACTGTTATTTTTGTTGAGTACAATTAAGATTGTGACTAGGTTTTTCACTTCAATGAATATTCTGATGAGATTATTATTAAGTGAATTTATAGTAGTGGAAAAAATCGCACTATAATGGAATTACACGTGCAATAATTAAAAAGTCTATTATAACAAATTACGCACGTTGTTGGGACTCGCGTTATAATGGCATCTGTGAGTTGTGCCCAACTATCTATTATAACGAGCTTAGACTGCACAGTGAAATTTCTTTCTACCGGTCAACCCGGCCACGAAGTATTAGTCGATATAAGAGAACCAGCATAAAAACCGTTTTTGAAAAATTTGGTTCTTTTAGCAGACACCGGTATAAAAAAGTTTTACAACACTGGTAACAAAATTCTTTGTACATTATATCTGCCATCATCGGTAAACATCAACGTCTTGGGAGACAATCAAACACCGACCATCACTTCGCAGGCTTTATATTTCGCCGACAAGATTATTTCATCGCAGATTACTTTATCGACAATTACTTTTGTTGATTTCAACTACAGTCATTTCAACGACAATTATTTCACTGACAATGGTTTATAAATTTATCAAGCGCGTGAAAAAAAAAGTGCATTTAGGAATAGTCGACTGTATTTTGTCGTCCACCAACTCTAAATGTTCGCGAAATGGCTATCGGTAAAGCAACGATAAAATGATTATGGTACGGATCTTTGGCAACGATTTTTTTTCTCGCGTCTACTATACATTATACTATATAAAATGAGATAAACATTAGTTGGCAACCATACGCCATCTTTGTTTAAGATTCCATATACTTCTAGTCCATAAGTTCCGCATTTAAAGTTGCATGGCCGCGATAAAATAGTCACTAGTGCATGCAATGGATGGCGTCCCAATTCTCTGTCCCATTCGTTCTGCCCCAATGTTTCGCCAACCTTTCATCAGACGTTCCCGTGAGAATATGGCAAAGTTTCGCCAAACAAAAGAAATTACCATAGTTAAATGTTTCGCGATCTTGTCGTTATTTACTACAAATATAACGAGCTTGCAAAATCAGTTAATACTTTTATTATTAATGACAAGATTAATATTAGCACAAAATATGTAGGCATTCACAAATTTAAAAATTAAACGAAACCGAATTTTTTTGTATTATAAATGAAAGAGCCAGGTCGACTGACAATTTGCAATATTTTACCGATTCCAACTACGTCAACCCTTAATATTCTAATGCAGGTGTATTAAACACATTCATTCAATTCTCTGGTAATCGTACCGATAGAATCGGAAATTTTTATTGATAAAAATGACGATCGGATAATTGATGATTGAAAATTGTTTAATCATCGTTTCATTCTAGCTTGGCAAATAAGATTACTCTAATTGCAAAGCATCGCGTTACATTTACACTTATACCCAACCTGTAGTCTCATTAGTTTTAATTCGCTAATAAAAGAGTCATAGTAATAGTTTTACTCGATGCGCAGGATGTCTGAAACGTTTTGACAACAACCGCAAAGGCTTTAGAGTTGACAAAAAACGCTTCAAACAATACACAAAAGCGGCAAGTGAAGAGAATACTTTGAAGAAATGTATTGATTGGTTTTGCTTATGTACAGTACCTTTTCAAGAAATGCTTATCCTTCAACGTTCTAAAACTTTTTTCTACCCGGTTGTTTGTTTATAAAAAGTTGACGTACATTTTATGTCGGCATCTAAACGTCAACTTACATACACAATGCCTTAAAACCTTTTATCGGTTAGGTGATTTCTTAATTGTTTTATTGATTATACACTCACCGGCAAAAAGTATCGACAAAATCTAAATGTTACACAGATATTCGTCAGACTTGATAATCTTCGAACTG